TCTCTGTCTCAGATAAATAAATAAAATCTTTAAAAAAAAAAAAGATTTTATTTTTAAGTAATCTCTATACCCAATGTGGGGCTCAAACTCACAGCCCCAAGATCAAGAGTCACATGCTCTACCAACTGAGCCAGCCAGGTGTGCCCCAACTTTTATTCTGAAAAATCTCAAACCTATAGGAAGGTTGCAAAGAGAATACAGTGATCAGGGGCCCATGGCTGGCTCAGTGAATACAGCATGTGACTCTTGATCTCAGGGTCGTGAATTCAAGCCCCACGCAGGCATAGAGATTACTTAAAAAAAAAAAAAAAAGAACATACTGATCAGTCTTTAAACTTCATCTAATTTACCAGTTGTTAACATTTTGCCACATCTGCAATGTACATATGTGTGTGTGTATATATGTACATACATTCAAGGTTATATTTGTGTTTTAGCAAGCCATTTGATAGTCAGCTGCAGACATCATAACACTCTTTTCCTAAATACTGTATTCAGATGCATCTCCTAAGAAGGGGAATTTGACAATCACACTCAGGAAACTACATGTTAATATAATACTGTTATCTAAAATATTCAAATGCTTCCTATTCTCATTTCCCCAAAGTGTCCCAATAATGCCTTTAGATTCTCCACCCCCCCCAATCCAGGATCCAACCAAGAATTGCATATTGCCGGGGGAAGGGTGGGCAAAATGGGTGAAGAGGAGTGGGAAATACAGGAGAAAAAGAAAAACCAAAAAAAAAAGAATCGCACATTGTAGTCAGTTGCCATGTCTCTCTAGTTTCCAGATTATGAGTAATTAAACTTTGTTTTTACTTTTCTATTGTGTATTTTCTAATGTTTTCCAATGGACATGGAACACTTTTGTTAAGAAGTTAGGAGGGGGTGTCTGGGTGGCTCAGGTGGTAAGGCATCCGACTCCTGATTTCAGCTCAGGTCATGATCTCAGGGTCATGGGATTGACCCTCACATGGGGCTCTGTGCTCAGCAGGGAGTCTGCTTGAGATTCTCTCTCTCCCTCTCCCTCTGCCCCTCCTGCCCCCCGACCCCGTCCCCCACACGCATACCTGGGCTCGCTCACGCTCTCAAATAAATAAATCTTATAAAAAAAAAAAAGAATAAAAATAGGAAGGTGTCTGGCTAGCTCAGTCAGTATAGCATGTGCCTCTTGATCTTGGGGTTGTGGGGTCATGAATTTAAGCCCCACGTTGGGCATGGAGCCTACTTATTAAAAAAAAAAAAAGAATAAAAATAGGAAGGTGTCTGGCTAGCTCAGTCAGTATAGCATGTGCCTCTTGATCTTGGGGTTGTGGGGTCATGAATTTAAGCCCCACGTTGGGCATGGAGCCTACTTATTAAAAAAAAAAAAAGAATAAAAATAGGAGTCAAAATAGCCAGACTATGGCTGTGAAACCCCAAAGTCATGTTCTAGGTCCCAAATGAAGTGACCCTTCCCTACCCACAGCAGGGCAGGCCAAGGGGAGACTGACTCTCTCTTCAGCATGAGAGCTGAGGCCATCCACTCTTCTTTCTACAAGGTTCCAAATCCATGGCAGTCAATATACAGGTCTGGAATTAAGATCCTATGAAAAGCCGGCCCCCTCCTTACCTGCACAGGTGGGGGGCCCTGGGGCATGGGCTGGTCCAGGGATGTGAAGGCCGACATGGCAGACATGAGCACATCATCACTCACCAAGATGTTCCCCTGCACCAGGGTCTGGATCAGCGGGGATGGGGGCACTGTAATGTACGTGGAGATCTGGGTAGTGTGAATGAGAGAGAGAGAAGAGAACGGAAGGGAAGGGAAAGGAAGAGAAGAGAAGAGGTATGTCTGAGGCTCTGGAAGGAAACAGGGCATGATGCAAAAGACTCGGGCTCTGGAACCCCACAGACCTGTGTTTCATTTCCACCTCTACTTCTCCCTGCTGTGTGACCCTGGGCAAGTCACTCCACCTTTCAGAACTTCCATTTCCTTATCTACAAAATGAGAATAAGTCATAACTCTCTGTAAGAGAAATACCCCATGACCCAGCAATAATACTTTCTGGTATCTCTCCTACAGAAACACTCACACATGTCCACAGGGAGTCCATGAACAAGAGTATTCTATATAGCTTTATTTCAAATAGTGTATAACTGGAAAGAACCTCAGTGTCCATCAAAGGGGAAATGGAGTAGAACAATACAATACAGTCATAGCATAGAATACTACACAACAGATAAAAGGTATTGCATGAAAAATCAAATTATGTAATAACATGCAGATTATATATTCTTACTTCAAAAATTCTAAAACAATAGCACTATAGAATTCCTGTGGGAATCACCATGCTCTGTATTAGGAGAGGTCTGTGGCAGCCTGAGAAGTATCAGCGTACAAGTCCTATGGGTCTGGGGGTGAATGCTTTTATTCTGACGGCAGGAATTATGTCTATACAGTGGATGGAGATAACGTTTTAAAGGAATAAGGAGACAAGAGGAAGCCAGAAGGAAATCTGACCCCTTGACCTGGCATCCTAAGACATGTCCAGCCTCCTTTATGAGGATTCTTTAATCCCTCTAAGAGCCCCTGACCCAGGGTGTCTCTGCTCTCCCCTGACCTCCAGACTTGTAGATTGTCTGCATCTTCACCACCTCCACTTAAAGGTCCAATGGATATCTCAAATCCAGCATGACCAGTTGAACTCCTGACATCCCCCCAGATCTTCTTCTTGCTGTTTCCCCACTTCAGTAAATGGCAACTCCACCTCTGCAGTGGATCCCCCTTGACTCCTCCTGATCTCACACCTCACATCCAGCCTATCCACAAGCTCTTCTGGCTCCACCTTCAAAACATTTCCAAAATCTCATCTCTTCTCTCCACCTCCACTGCCACCATCCGACCAAGCCTCCACCACCTATTGCCTGGATTGGTACAACAGCCCCCTAAAGCCTCCTGGGTTTCTCTCTTGACTCCCACCAAAATGTATTCTCTGTACAGCAGCCAGAGTAATCTAGTTTAAGTGTAAATCAGACTATGTCCCTCTTCTGTTCAAAACCTTCCTAAGGTTCCCATCTGACTCAGACGAAAAGCCCACAAGGCGCACATGCTCGCCAGGATCCCCCTGTTGCCTGTCTGAACTTATCATCTCCCACCCTCCTCCTCACTCACTCAGCTCCAGCCACGCTCACCTCCTTGCTGGTCCTGGAATAAACCCAGCACACACCCACACCAGGGCCTTTGTACTTGCTGATCTCTTCTCCTGAAATACTCTTCCCTACACTAGCAGCATGACTCATTCCCTCATCACCGTAGGCCTCCTTTCCTATGTCACCTCTTCACAGAGCTCTTCCCCAAGCACCATATACAAAATGACAAAACCTCCCATCCCTGTCTTGGCATCCCCATCTCTCTGCACTTAACATCCCCTGAAAAAAGTATATCTCTACATAGATGTTTGGGTACTATCTCACCCTCCATGAGGGCAGTGATGTGGAATATTTGTCCATCACAGTGCCCACACGGTGCCTGACGCATAGTGCATGCTCAAAAAAGACTTGAATGAATGAATGAACGAACACACAAATGAACAAATGAATACCTGGCGATTAGTAGGAGGTGGGGCCTGCTGGACCGCTGTGGGGGCTGCCGAAGGCGTGTAGATGCTGTTAGTGGCCAATGAGGCGGTGGCCAGGGGCGGGGCATTCCCATGGCACTGTTCCCGCTTGTGGGTCATAAATGCCGGCAGTGAGTTGAACTGCTTCTTACACTTCCCGCAGAGAAAAACATCCTCATCATCTAGGGGTCACACCCACACGGTAGCAGAAGGACAGGAACATTGATAAAAAGCAAGATAAATGAGAGGGCATCACAGTGAGAAACAGGGGAAAACCTAACAGCAATCTGTGACTCAGCGTGTTTGTGTCAAGTGCCAACTCTGTGCTTCCAAAAGGAGATTTCAAGACCACATAGGCAACTGCAGGAATATCCAGCCATGTCTACCCAGGTATTGAAAAATTAGAACTCAGGGGCGCCTGGGTGGCTCAGTCGTTAAGCGTCTGCCTTCGGCTCAGGTCATGATCCCAGGGTTCTGGGATCGAGCCCCACATCAGGTTCCTTGCTTGGCAAGGAGCCTGCTTCTCCCTCTCCCATTCCCCCTACTTGTGTTCCCTCTCTAGCTGTCTCTCTGTCAAATAAATAAAATCTTTAAAAAAAAAAAAAGAAGGGGGCGCCTGGGTGGCTCAGTTGGTT